CTAAAAAGGACTCAACGGGAGTGTCACATCCATGATCTACCACATGACCCAGAGTGTAGAATGCATCCACAGGTAAACAATATTTAAGCACCACGCTTACATAATGTTGACCACTTAACTCACTCGAGTATTGAGCTAAGCGCTTTGCGAACATATGCATATATTCATAATCAATCATAACTATATCAAGCATATAACTAGAGCAAACTAGGAACATAATAAATAGCAACATAGTATTGAAGTAGCACAAAGTCATAAATAAGAAGGATATAATGGATATATCGGCCTCCAGACGGCGAATCTGGAATCCTGAGCAATAGCCCAAACTCTACTTGAACCTTGCTAGCTAGCCTATACTAGAAGTTTGAAGAATTAGAGCTCTATTCTCCTCTCTGAAAACCCTAATTTCTGATCTGATCTTGACTTATGATAGATCTTTCATGCAGGGGGCAGGGGCTGGTATATATAGGCCGGTGCGTCAATTCTGAGTCCTCGAATCAAACCGACTTGAATAAATGGCATAGATCCAATCCTTAAGGCGGTGGAGAACCGACATAAGAACGGGGGGCTGATAGGTGGGCCCCAGGGGCCGGTCGACCTACAGGTGGGGCCGGTCGGCCCCACATGTCATCCTCTGCAGGCCTGCTTCGGTGGCGTGGACTCTGGTGTCCTCTGAAACCTTCTGGAGTTGTTTTCGCAGTGGATAAGTGTGATTTTATTTGATGTTTTGATCCTCCTTGACGGTTTTCTAGATAAACCCTGCTGAAAACATATATTCACCAAAACTCATACAAATTGTTAGTTTAAACCCCTAAGTCTATGTTGATGATCATTTTATGCATTTATTCAACTTATGTTGACGGTTCTTGATGGATGATAACTACCATCAACAGCAACTCATGCCATGACAGTGAAGATGGCTTGGATTTATTACAAGGCTCACACATGTGATGATGGAGCTCATTGCATATGAGACATGACATGGAGTCATGTGACTAAGGTGGAGAAGATCAAGATGAGGCTTGGCTTGATAGACCGGTTGCAAGAGCGAAGAGCAAGTTGAGGACTTGGTGCCGATGGTCCAAAGCAACGGTGAAGAGCAAGTGAGGTCAAGATCGATGAACCAATAAGGTCACATGATGATATGAAGTGGATCATATCATTTGTGATATAGTTGGTGCATGTGTTGCTTCAACGATGGAGGAAATGGAATGGAATGCACAAGGCAAAGGTATAACCTATAGGGCATTTCATTTCACCGATCATAGGTGTGTAGAGAAGTGCATGAACGGGTTTAGGATAGATGGACGTACTATCAAGAGGGGCAAACTTGTTTGCATATCGGTCATCTAGTGCCACTCGAGTGATCTAACTTTGCATCGTTGCTAGGATTGAGTGGCGTGGTGAATTGAGTGCTAATCATTTGAGAAAATGTTTGTGAAATGCTAACACACTTACACTTGATGGTGTACACTTGGTGGTGTTGGCATATTTGCAAAAGGAGAAGAAGTTGGAGTTGATTTTGATCAACTTGGTGAAGAAAAAGGGACCGGACCCTACTGACGGACATGATCGAACTCTGCCTAGGCGGGTCCGGTAGCTAACCCTAGCCTTGGGCATGGCCAGCGGGAGTTCTAGACCCTGGGGTCTTGAAGGACCGGTCCCAAGTCCACGGGTTCGGTTGTGGCATGCAGAGAGCTGAGCAGTAGCACGGGAGCTTCGAACTCTAGCGTGGTGCGGGTCCAGACGCAGGGCACTGGGTCCAGTCATGGCTCGCTCGGTGAAGAGGTGACATGGCGCACGGTGGTGAACCGTACCCTAACTGTTTAGAGTCTGGTTGTGCCAAGCGGACCGGGTCCAGAGGGATTTGGCCTTCTCTGGACCTCTCTATTTCGATTCGAACCCTGGGGGTCGCTAGGTCTGGTCGTGGCAGTGAGGGTCTAGTCCAGAGGTTTCGCACGTGGGTGAAGTAGCCATTGGCTTCCAACAGTCGGCTTTGAAAGGTGGGGACACATGGCGCAATCCTGAGGACCGAACCCTATGAACAGTGCCGGTCTGGTCGCTCAGTGAGGGTCCGGTCCGGACCCTGCGCAGAGGGGTTTTGAGCAAAGGGCTCTTTTCTCCCTTGGGCTATAAAACCAAGCACTAGCCGGCCTTGGGCTAGTTGCTAAGCACCCTTAAGGCTTGGTGGTTTGTGTAGGTGTGCTTGGGAGCCCTCTAACTCACATACACTTGATAGTGATCATCCGATTGAGTGAGTGCGATTCTAGTGCGATTGCATCATGAGGTTGCATCGAGTGGCACTAGGTGATAGAGTTGCAAGCCAGTGGTGCTTGTTACTCTTGGAGGTTGCCACCTCCTAGATGGCTTGGTGGTGGTCTCTGTTGAAGCACGCAAAGAAGATTGTGCGGTGCTTTAGAGAAGTGATTGTGAGGGATATTGTGCTCGCCCCGCGGGAGCCGCGAAGAGCAACTCTAGTTGAGCGAGACACGAAGGGCGACAAGTGGTCCAGCCGAGTGCTAGAGCTTGTGGTAAGCACTCCACGTGGGAGAGTGTGACTTGTGGGTCACCACTAGCAAGAGGATCGGTGTCAACCTTGGAGCTTGTCTGAACGGGGATTAGTGTGTTGACAAGCATGTGAACCTCATGATAAAAATCACCGTGTCATCCTTGTTCATCCCGTTGGTTTGCAATTCCCCAACACAAGCTTGTATTTACTTTCATGTATACTTTGCTTGTGTAGTTGCTCTTGTAATTAGTTAGCTTGTGTAGCTTACTAGTTACCTTCTTGCTTGTGTAGCATAGAAGTAGCTCCCTTGCGTGACTAATTGGCTTGAGTAGCCTTGTTAGTCGCATTGCTTAGTTTGTGTAGCTAAGTAATTTGCGCTCTCTAATTTGACTTGTGTAGCCTTGTTATTGAGCATTGCTAGTGAGCTTAGGAGCTTTGTGCTTTTGCTTACTAGTTTGTGTAGGAGCTCCCTCGGTTGCCAAAGTACTAGTTTCATAGGTTTGTGTGACCTTGCTCCTAGAATCGGTTAGGTGAGATCTAGCTAGCCCGGCACCTTTGTTGCCTAATTAGGATCTTTTAAGGTGCTTGAGAACTTAGATAGAGGGGTGAAGTCTTAGCTAGATTGATAGTTTTAATTCCGCATTTGTTTCGGTTAGCCAGTGCGATTAAGTTTTAGAAAGGACTATTCACCCTCCCCCTCTAGTCCTCCATCTCGACCCTACATTGTCACACTTTCATTATGAGGGATGGCTAGGTTTATGAGACAACCAACAAAGAACTGTCAAGACTCTTTCCCGGGAGGGACCCTGTCAGGGTGTGGATGTTAGTGAGTTGCCCTAGGTCAACCCGCAAGCCTAGAGCGCCATTATATCTCGGGTCCTCGAGATAATAGGATGGATGACAACACTGGGTTGGAGGAAGTGAATATGGGTAAAATGATAGTGTAGAATGATTTCGGATACAATTGGAAGCCCTCGGTTGGTTGTGGCCCTTTATCCCTTTAGGAGTCAAAACTCTTACGTATAAATTTGTGCCAGAATAATGCATAACTGGGATTACGTAGTCAAACCAGGCTTGGCCGGCCAGTTGTCACATGTATGGATCTTTCTAAAGCCGTAATTTTCTCAACCAAACTTTAAATTGGCAACACAATGGTAAAGTCCATTATGCAATTTGACAAAATTGCAAAACTGGTCAGACCTATTTTCTTAAGATAAAAAACCCTCGGTCATGCCACTTTTGGGTGTGAACAAATCGGTATAAAACTCCTACTATTTCATTCACAAATTAATCTGTCCCGTCAAATCAGATCCACATCATAAGCACACAAACAGTACAACCATATAAGAGAGAAGAAGTCCACCTGTCTTTTTATACAGTTATAGGCAAGACTTATTACACAGTTGCAAAATGCAAATTACTGATATTCAAAAGGTCTATGCATGTACTAAATGATTTAGTTTAAATTTTGCAAAATAAATACTATGGTGGGCTTTTCCCCATCCCAATCAGTTATGAAAACCAAACAGCTAACGGCCCTCTAGCATAGTGAGACTCATACCATTTATGGACAATTCCTTGTTGTCAACTGCTTTTCTAGGTTGGTAGTAGTCCCTAAGTGCAAAATACATAGGTTCATTTGGTGTTGGAAGTGGTGTCATTTTGTTCTCCAGCATGAACACAACCGCCGACACGAGTGGCCTGCAACTCGGATTGTCTTGAACACACAAGAGTGCTATATGGATGCATCGTGAAACTTCATCAAGGGAGCAATTCTCCATGACAGATGAGTCCAAATCTTCTATTTTCCCTTCTTTCCATATGTTCCATGCCTGAAACATTACACAATCTCACATTCAGATATCATATATATTTTGTCTACTGTGGATAGCTCTGAATTCTGACCATCTCCTTGTACTTACATATGATATAAGGTTAGAAAAATCCATTATAAGACGATGTGTTGAGCTGATCTTTAATCCACTTACGATCTCCAACATTAGAACACCAAAGCTGTAGGTGTCAGACTTGACTGAAAATGCGCCTCCCATTGCATATTCGGGAGACATGTAACCACTGTGCAAATAATTTCATAAAAATTCTTTGCATATTTTTGAGACTGTAAAAAGTGAATGAATTCTAAGATTTGGCGGTGCAGCTACTACTTACTATGTCCCAACAACTCGGTTAGTATTTGCTTGGAGTTGGTCGTCATCGCCATAGAATATCTTTGCCATGCCAAAATCTGATATCTTTGGGCTCAACTCCTTATCTAACAAGATATTGCTTGATTTGAGATCTCTATGGATTACAGTCAATCTCGAGTCATGATGGAGATACATAATTCCTCTAGCAACCCCCCTGGATTATTTTGAACCTTCTTGGCCACTGAAGCATTGATTTTCTTGCAGAATCTAATAAAAATAATATAGAACAAGGCATATCAGAAGGCCACATGAGCACATTTATTTGTTGGGTTTTATTAATGGTATCAACATTTGGAATTATTGAATGTACCAAAGAGGAAGTAATCCAAGCTTTTGTTGGGTAAGTACTCATAAACTAATAGCCTCTCATCTTCATGAATACAACAACTGAGAAGCTTAACTAGGTTCTTGTGCTGCAACTTTGCAATTAAGACTACTTCATTTTTGAACTCCTCGGTGCCTTGCCAAGAACCCTTGCTTAGTCTCTTGACAGCTACTTCCTTTGTGCCTTCCAACATTCCCTACATGATTTCATAATCCAGAATTATAATATTTTTACGGCAATGTAATTTCCTAGGTAATCCCAAACTTTTTTACTCATACCTTGTATACTTTGCCAAAACCTCCTTTTCCAATCATATTGCAATCAGTGAAATTGTCTGTTGCTATTGCAATATTTTCAAAGCTAATAAACGGGAACTCTATTATGTTCTTGTCCCTAGATTCATCCATAGAACTCAAGTATTCTAGCATCCTTCTCTTCTTTTGTCGTTTGCCTGAAAGTATTAACATCAATGTATCCCTTTTTTTCCCTTGAACATCGGCACATTAACACTGCACACATTCTTTAAAACGATGACTCTTGGTACCTGTGCTTTTATATGCCCAGATAAGCGCTCTGAGTGCAAGTAGTAGCACATATGCTATGATCGGGAGTAAAATGTTCAGAAAATTGATCGTGTTTTGATCTATACAAGGAAATGTATCATGTTAGAGTTTGCTGCATCAAGCATTGCTTGCGATTGTGTGATGAGTTTACTTTACCTTAAAAAAGAGTAAAAGATGGACACGCAAATATTCAAGAACCTAATTGCCACTTAAAGAGTTTCCTCGTGGATGCTACTGATGCCAATTCTAGTTGATGTCACGAGCAGGGTAGAATAGACTAGGGAGCACTACAGCACAACGCTTAATTTTTGCACATGCTCAAATTAAAATTGATTTTTAAAGATGGTTTTTGAAACCGCTACTAATAAGGCGTCAATTGTAAAAATGAAACGTTTACAAGGACATTTTTATAGCCGCACTTGAAAATGAAATTTAATTCTCATGGAACATGGATGGTTGACTTAGTCAACTGTTCATAAAAATATTTTAATAAAAAAACACAAAAATATTAAATTGTGTCAATCAATAGAAAAACATTTTTTGCCCAAGCCACCACATCGCTATTCAATTGTAAAAATAAGATATTAACAGGGACGGTTTTAAAACCACCCATAAAAATGGAAATAATATTTAGAGGCTATTAACTTAGTCAACCATTCACAAAAATATTTTTAAAAAATCACAAAAGATATTAAATTGCACCAAAAAATAGAAAAACCTTTTTCAAAGCGGACATCAAACAATCACATGCTCATAAGGATTTGAACTCATAGCATTTTGCCTCGCACAAGCCTTCACTGCCACTGTACTGCATAATCACTTGTGACTAAGTATATGATGTTATTTTAATTAACTTTTATAAATTTTATATTCAATACTTTAGCCCCTAGACAATCTTAAATAAAAAATGAACTAGAACATTTTAGATCTTGTCGAGTAATACAACTTTGATATAGGGGGAATTTTCATCTATGGTCATTTCTCAATTTTGAATTTCATAAGAACTTAAAAAGTATATTTTGACCTCTAAACAATCTCAAATAAAAAAAACTATAGAGTTTTAGATCTTGTTGAGCTCTAAACTTTAATATAAAGTTTGTCTTTGTCTAACTTTATTTTTTTAAAAAGTTATGAACTTATTTGCTCAGCGGTTATTTTTAAGGGTGGTTGACCCTAAAAATCAATTTTTAATAATGATTGACTAAATCGACTGCCCCTAAAAATCAACTTTCTTAGGAACGATTGGCATAAGAAACAAAAAGTAAATAGATTTTTAAGGGTGATTTTATTAAGTGAACTGCTCCTGAAACTTGATTCCTAGAGGCGGTTCGAAATCTACAATGCAGCAAAATATTCCTAGAGATGGTTTAATGTGTGAACTGCACCTAAAAAAGTAGGAAGTGATTGTAAAAAAATCATTTATGTAGTAGTGGAGTTGGATGGAGAATTACGGTGAAGGTAACAACTAGCCAGCTGGGTCTCAGCAGCCTACATAATGCATGAGCCTAGGAACAAATACAATATTCTCAAATGTTTTATCTCTAACTCAAACCCAAAATTTCTCTTTAACTAATCAAGTATCCCTAACCCCCCCTCCAACAACTTGTCCTCCAGTTGGAACGATTGGTACATGCATGTGAATTATTGAGGAGAGCCCACACGATCACTGAAGTTTTAAAGTCCATTTAATATTAGGACATATGGATGGCATCCTAAATTGTTTCGGAGTAATGTTTATCTTACAAATAGGCCTTATGATGGTGATGGCATGACTTCTTGTCACCTTGATCACTAATGTCACTTTTGAGGAAAGAAGGATGAGGTGTTTGGGATGCACGTACCAGGAGATTTGCCAAGTCGAATGTACAGGACCTCTTCAAAGATTTGCTTCTCCATGTCGATGAGATCCCCAGCCCAAACCAAACACCTCGATGTGTCGCCCATAGTACCACCATTGCTTAGGTTGGCGTAAGCGTATGCCATACACGAGCAGTTTCTAGTGCACTCAGATGCACACTGCTCGAAGCTTCTATTCCTAATGTGCAAGAACTTGTAAGGAAGCTTGATATTAGGCATGGCCATGAAATAGTCTTCCTTTCCGCATTTCAGTGCTTCGCTTCTCTGGCATCCTCTAGAGAAGTTGAGACTGTCAAGGAGCTCAAAACCATCAGGTAACCGGCATGCCGGGATTGCCTCCGTGCGGTCACAGTAGCCGAACGGGCCACAAGAGGCATAGAGATCACAGCTATTAGGAACCTCAATGATGATTGCCCATGACGAAGTGGTGCTGTTCCAAGCGAGGAGCCTCCCTTTGCCTGTATAGTCCAACGAAAGGCGAATGTAGGGTGAGCCGGGCGAGACCGTGTACATGTAGTACGACTCGTCCCCTGTGTTGATAGTCGTTTGGTACAAAGATCACGTCGATGCCATTGATTTGTTGCATGCCACCGGACACCGGGTTGCCATTAACAACAGGGAAACGGAAGTATGGCAACGCCCCCTTCCAAATGAATAGCTGAAGGTTCGAGGTGGGATCCATACCAAGGGCCAGTTTGGATGTCAAAATTTTTGGCAAAACACTACTGTAGCGTTTTCGTTGTTATTTGGTAATTAGTGTCTAATCATAGTTTAATTAGGCTTAAAAGATTCGTCTCTTGGATTTCGTTTAAACTGTGTAATTAGTTTTATTTTTTATTTATATTTAATGCTTCATGCATGCGTCCAAAGATTCGATGTGACGAGGAATCTTGAAAAATTTGACATTTTGGGGTGCAACTAAACAGGGCCCAAGAGAGAAATCCCCAGTTGATGGATCGTCAGGGCCCTTCCAAGCAAATAAGCGTGTCGCCGGTTGTGCCTTGTAGCTTAGCAGCACCCTCATGGTTGGAAGAATGTTATCGGTCGGGTGATCGAAGCTTTGCCATACCTCCGTGCCGTTCGGCGACTGAAGGACAAAGTTCCCAGAGCTGAGTAGCACCGCGGAAGCTCCGGCGCCACCTCCGCCGCATGTGTTTCTTGTTGCCGTCCAAAGAGTGTGGCCTTGGGAGTCCGACAACACCAGCTCTGAGTTGTCGGTGATGGCGAGCTTCGCTGACGGTGTGGTGATCGGGTTGTCACGGTTGGCAACCCATACACTGTGCGGTCTGCAATGCGGTGGTACCAAATTCCTATGTATAGCTTTTTGCTGGAGTTGATAGGGGAAAAGAAGCCAAGAGCGAAGTCCCCACCCTCCGAGATGAGCTTGTCTTTGAGCAAGAGTGGCTTTGTTTGTGTCAGCGGGTTGTCGGATCGGCAGAGTGAGCTTAGCAATATTAGGATGAAGGCGGCAATATACACCATATCCATCTGGCCTTTCTTGTTCGTTGTCCTTGGAAGCAGTGTGAAGATGATGGCGTGTGGTGTAGATGAAGAACATGTACAGTTGCACTAAACGTATAGATCTTTACGGTATTTCTCTAAGAAAGAAGCTTTAAGGCAATGAATGGGTGATACTATCCGTCAAATTGAAAGGTATAGATCTTTCATCATGCGTTGATTGTTGGGAGCGTACGGTGATGGTAGAGTCCGCAATAATCAATACACATACGACTAACACATCAAGGAGTTCCCTCAAAAAAAAAAAAACTAACACATCAAGGAAGAAAGGACATATAGACTAACAAAGCACCAACGGGCAGCTAGGCTAACCGCTTGCATCCCTAAGAATTGCAGAAGACGTAAAAAGGGCTACTTTTCAGGACAGCTAAGTAATGTCTTGGTATTCCAAGACCAATTAACATACATGACTTATTTAATCGAGGGCGTAAATTGGGGGTAATCTACCTTTATTAACTGCAGCGGCAGCGTTGTGCTGGACCATTTGGGTCACAAGAAACTAAGTGTTGTTTGACAGATGTATACCAAGAACTTTCTTGCAGCTGGTTGGTAGTGGGACGGGACAAGCTGGCCTCTCTGAAACTGTTGATGGATTTTTAGATGTGGTATTTTGGCCTTGTTTGGTTGCTTTTCTAAGAATCAATTTTAGTTAGAACCATGATTTTTAGTAAGCTGCACGTCAAAAGAATCTACAGCCCCAAGAATCGTGTTGTTTGGCAATCTTGATTATTGTATCAATCCTGAGTAAAATATCTTATATGCCCTTAGGGCGAGAGCATTTTCTTAACTGTGCCCTGCCCTTTTCACCCCATCGCCTCCACCATCGACCCATCCACCACCACCACCTCCCCCCATTGCCACCACCAATGGCGCCTCCTGCGGTGGCCAACATCCGCCCCCGCTTGGCCCCAACCACCGCCGCCGCCTACCTCGTCGAGTCTCCCCTCACCACCGCATCCTTCGATGGCCCCGCCGCCATCGTCGAGGACACCAGGTGTGTAGCTAGCTCCTTCATGTTCCTTATCGGCCATGCCATCACCATGCACATAGGGGGTGGTCAGGGGCAGCAAGCAAGGGAGGAAAGGGGCGAGCAAGGGAGCGAGGCATGGGGCGAGCGGTGGAGCTCCTTCCTTGCGCAGGGGAGTGAGACAGCGGAGGGGAGGGGCGGGCGGAGGAGGCCGATAGCAGAGGGGAGGGCTGGAGGGGTAACAAACAAAAATCGGCTGATGGTAGAAGGCCTCCCTCGCCGTACAAAGGTTGCAGTGTGCAGTTCAAAGCTCACTTACTTTCACAACTGTAGCAAAAAAATCAGAGAAGAATCCAGGCATTTGGGTGGGATTTTGGATTATTTTCATCTAGAATCTAATTTTAATTGGAAACAAACATGCCCTTTATTAAGTGTCTTCATAAATAAGCCACTTGCCTCTTAAAATCATGGGGCACTTTTCGAAGACAGGAAGAATTTTTTGACCACTTCTGTTAATAAAAGGAGTTATCTTATAAATTGTTTTGGTAGTGCAATTCAAAGTTTTCATGGACCCCTCCAGGACTAGTAGACGGCCACACTGGTTAGTAGGTTTCCTGAGTTATTGGCGTCCAAATGCCAGGGATGGATCTACGTAGAGAGTGTAGAGGGTGGAAGCACATCCATACCAAAACTAAAAAAAGCAGTCATTATGATTAAATCTTCGTGGTAAAAATAAAAAAAAAAATCTATACACCTACACAACAAGCGCACGTCCCTTAAATTTGATCAGAGATTTGCATCGAAGGCTCTCCTACCCAACTTCACTGGTTCGTCGGCAGTGGCGGAGTAAAGTGCCGACTGCCAAACCCGCTGCAGACGGCAGACGACAGTCGGCTCCTCCCGTGCAGATATTGGACTTCGGATCATCCAGCGGACCAAGACTGACCGGGTCAATACGTCGTCCACTTACTCATAAATATCAGATACTCCACGCTGGGGAAAATTTCTCACTCCGCAAGCTGCCGGCCACAAGCCACACACATGTTCTGCTTTCTCAGATCCAGTCTACTCCCACTCTCCCCAAGTCTTGCAGTCACAGCACCGCCCGCCCAATGGCGTCTCCGCCCACTCAGTCGAGGTCCGGACCCCCAACGACTCGCCACGGCCCACCGCCGCTCTCCTCTCCTCCTCCGTGGTTGCACCCCAGCCCTCATTCGCCCCCGCCTCCGGCTCCTCCTCACCGTGGCCCGCATCGCTGCCACGGCCTTCATCCTCTCCGTCGGATCCTCACTGTCGTGATCGCGGTGCCCGCTGCCATGCAACCGCTCTCCAAGCTCCCCCAAGCCCGTGGTGTTGCTCATATCCTCGGATGGCTTTCGCTACGGGTACCAGTACAAGGTCCTTCCCCCACACATCTGCCGCCTCATCGCCAGCGTCGGCACCGGCGTCCTCCTCATCACCTCCTCCTGCGGCTAGAGATGGCAAGGGTGTCGTGGCCGTGCCATACGTCACGACCGCCTCTAGGCTCGCCAGACATGGTGGTCGCCGTCCACTAGAGTGTCGCGCCTAACATGTTGCAAGTGTGTGTTTCAGGTGTTTCATATGTTTGTTGCAAGTGTTTCATGTGGATGTTGCAAAAATGGATCGGAATGTTGCATATGTTTCAATGGCTACACACGTATGTTGCAAGCGTCTATTCCAAATATTTCAGCAGTTTCAAATGTATGTTGCACGTGCTTTATCTAGGTGTTGCATATGGTTCACACTTATGTTGTAAGTGTTTTATCCGGATGTTGCATATGTTTCACACATATGTTGCAAGTATTTCATCTAGATGTTGCATATGTTTGCAATGGCTACACATGTGTTTTAGGTGTATGTTGCAAGTGTTTCAAGTGTTTTGGACGTATGTTGCAAATGTTTCCTCTAGATGTTGCAAAGGTAGATCTGATGTTGCACATGTTGTAGTGGACCTATCTGTAGCAGACGCCTACTGCAGTTGCTGGTCCCGCCTGCATGCGCGTGGGTGTGGAGGGGGCGCGAGCGGCAGGCACGAAAAACAGTGCGGGTGCAGATCGAGACGGAGCGGCACGGGACATGGAGCGGGCACGGGACACGGTGCAGGCACGGGACATAGAGCAGCACGGGCCCCCATGTGAAGCAGGCGCAGGCGTGCGGCACGGGCGTCCAGACGCTAGCCCCCATCCAAATGTCCGGGCGCTAGCCTTTCCGAAGAAAAGAAGCTACCTTTTCTTACATCCCAGACCAGCCTGTTCGTTTCGGCTGAAACGACCGAGGATTATTACTGCTGGCTGATTTGGTGTGAGAGAAAAATATTGTTCTGGCTTATATACACGATCGTTTATGACCAAACGAACAGGCTGCGTTTGCTGACTCCAGAAACACGAAATCTACCTGTGCGACCAGGGTGTGAGAGCGACGACGGCGAAGTCGTCGGAGACCATTGCAATCACCAGTACACTGCTGCTTGTCTGGTCTGCTCACCGGTGCTTGGTTAGTCAAGGTCATCGCTTCCTTCATCTGTTAGTCTGAATTATTGCAGACTTTGCCATCATCCTATCTACGCTTGTCCCACCCACCAGCCACCAATGTGATATATGAAAACCACTGCACGCTTCGATTTGACGGACAGAAAAACAGCAAGTACAGGTCCACAAATTACTGTAAAGTGCCATACTTCCAGTCCAACCATTCTTCATCTGCAGTTCTGCACTGACACTACTACATGATAAATTTTCTTCACACTGCTTCATAGGCCAGAGAACAAGAAAAGCCCTGATAGATATGATGTATATTCCCATCTTCATCTTCATATTCTTGAGTTCACTCTGTCAATCCGACGATAAGCTGACACATATAAAGCCTCTCTTTCCCAAAGACACGCTCATCTCAGCAGGCGGAGACTTTGCTCTTGGCTTCTTTTCTCCTACCAATTCAAGCAACAAGTTATACATTGGAATTTGGTACAACAATGTCCCAGAGCGCACGGTGGTATGGATCGCCAACCGTGACAGCCCAATCACCAACCCTACATCAGCAAAGCTCGCCATCTCAAACAATTCAGGACTGGTGCTGTCAGACTCCCAAGGGCACATCTTTTGGAATGCAACGAGCAACACAAGTGGAGGTGCTGGAGCTTTTGCAGTGCTACTCAACTCAGGGAACTTTGTCCTTCGATTGCCGAACGGCATGGACATATGGCAAAGCTTTGATCACCCGACTGATACAATGCTTCCAACCATGAGGGTTATACTAAGCTACAAGTCACAACCGGCAACACGCCTCTTTGCTTGGAAGGGCCCTGACGATCCATCAACTGGGGACATCTCTTGCAGCATGGATCCCACCTCAAACCTTCAGATGTTCGTTTGGAATGGGACTTCGCCGTACATGCGTTACTCTGTTGTGGGGGTGTTTGGTTTCCTGGACTAAATTTTAGTCCATGTCACATCGAACGTTCGGATGCTATTTAGGAGAACTAAATATGAGTTAATTATAAAACTAATTACATAGATGGAAGCTAATTTACGAGACGAATTTATTAAGCCTAATTAATCCGCCATTAGCACATATTTACTGTAGCACAACATTGTCAAATCATGGACTAATTAGGCTTAAAAAATTCGTCTCGCAAATTAGCCATAATCTGTGCAATTAGTTATTTTTTTCATCTATATTTAATACTTCATGCATGTGTCCAAACATCCGATGCGACAGGGACTAAAATTTCCCTATAGGAACCAAACACCCAATGATGTCCCAGTATCTGGCGGCACGTACCAGAGCAATAATATCTCTGTCACGTACCAAGCGATGATGGGCGACACAGGGGATGATGAGACGTACTATATGTTCAGAGTCTTAGGGCCTGTTTAGTTCGTGCCCGGAATCGGCGCCGCCCGAATCTGGGGCACTGTAGCGGTACTGTTGGACACTGTAGCGTTTTGTTTGTATTTGGTAATAATTATCCAATCGTTGACTA